CCCTTTGGTTGATCTCTTACCCTCCCCACTCCCACCCTTCCCCTGCCTTCCCTTTCATTGCATTTTATCTCGGGGCACTGTCAGGCAGTTCCATGTCCACAGAGTCTGGGCTAGCCAGAGTTTTATACTTATATGTATGTCAGACCATCCTAGCTGAAGAAATCCCAAAGTTCTGTAGTGTCTTGGGTGCTGGGCTGCTTGCTTACAATAAAAAGGCATGCAGGAAAAGAGGGGTGGGAGGGCATTTTCAAGTTAGGTCTCTGAATATGGATCTCACACACACTTACTTTAAAGCAAATTTTTGAGCTTACAGTATTTGAAAGTCAGGGCACTGGCATCTTTCAGTCACCCATGAAGTGCCATCGCCTTGGTCATCTTCTTGCACTCGTTCCCATCTGTGGAATGAATATGTCACCACTTGGTTCTTTCCTCTGAGTCTGGTCTGGAGAGCAAAGTACAACCCTTTATCAGAAATAACTCTTAGACTTGGGACCTGAAGAAAAGGCAGGCCAAAGAAAAGGAAAGAAAAAGAAAGGAAGGAAGGAAGGAAGGAAGGAAGGAAGGAAGGAAGGAAAGGAAGGAAGGAAGGAAGGAAGGAAGGAAGGAAGGAAGGAAGAAAGAAAAGAAAAGAGAGAGGAAAAAAAAGAGAGAAAGAAAGAAGCCAGTCAAAAGAATGGTTAAAATTTTACCAAAAAGCATACCTTTTGTGGCCAAAATGTTTGGAGGTGAGAATGAATGTGAGTGGCTATATGTGAGGTAGGAGTGGGGGTGGCGCAATCATTACACACTTCCAGGAGGCCTTGGCTTTGCCAGGGCTGACCCTCAGGTTGGGTGGGGCCTGAACATAGCACACATCACATTTCTATGCAGGTGACATTGGAAATAAACTCGGTGCAGCCTTGACAGAGAAAAAAGCAGCCAGCGTCCGGAGGAGAGGAAGAGTCCCCTGACGGAGGAGAGGGGACTGGAGGGTCACTGGCAGGCTGGCCTTTTCCAGCAGCAGCTGTGGATTGGGGGGCTTTCCTCCATCCTGCCACCACTGCCGCCTGCCTGCGTTACTAAACCCACTTTCTTCCAGTCAGGGCCTCGATTGAAGGCAGATCAAGAGCAAGCTACAGATCATGAGTAATCCTATTTGCATAAACCATGCTCACATCCTTCAAAAAATTATTAAGGATTTGGGGGCCCAAAGGTTGGGTCCAACCACCAGGGTTAAGACTCAAAAATAATATAATCATTTATTGCAATTTATTTAATGCTAGGGACTCTGCTATGACCTTTTTTTTTAAATATATATTTTATTGATTTTTTACAGAGAGGAAGGGAGAGGGATAGAGAGTTAGAAACATCGATGAGAGAGAAACATCGATCAGCTGCCTCCTGCACACTCCCCACTGGGGACATGCCTGCAACCAAGGTACATGCCCTTGACCGGAATCAAACCTGGGACCTTTGAGTCTGCAGGCCGACGCTCTATCCACTGAGCCAAACCGGTTAGGGCTGCTATGACCTTTAATACTGTATCTCATTTAATCTTCACAACAAGACTCTGAGGCAGATATAACTACTCACATTTTACACATCAGAAAACCAATACACAGAGTAGTGGCTAAGAGTGTATTTGCCCAAGGTCACAGGTTAGTGAGTGGTAGACCAGGACTCAAGCCCTACTCTAGCTTCAAAGCCTAGTTTATAATCTCCTCTTGGAGATTTATTTGTGCTGAACAATTTCAAATACTGTAAGTAAGGGGAGGAGATAACGGCTGTCCTCAGCTATGAGGATCTGAGAATCCATCCTGAGGTGGGGGAGACTTGGGCATCGATCCCTGTGTGCCACACAGAGCCTGGGTCTGTGTTTATGAGTGTCTGCACAAGTCTGCACAGAGTCACTATGACAGTCACCTTTGTCCCTTAGGAAATTGGTTCCGGTCCTTCTAAGGAAAACCTGTCAACCTAAAAGAGCAAAGCTTCCTTGAGAGGACAAACACTCCACCCTAAACTTTGCCATCAAGGTTGGGGAACAAACCTCCACTCACTGGGGACAGAAGACTTGGCTCTTTACAACAGCAAGAGGGCACAGCCATTTTCAGGAACAGCTCCAGTAGCAGCATCTGTCAGCAGGGATGAGGCAGGCCCTGGGCAGGGGCACAGTGGTCAAATAGAAGGGGAGGGGGGAGAGTTAGGTTGCAGTGGGAGGGGCCTTGATTAGAGACAGGATGACAACAGAGATGAGCCAACTCTAGGCCAGCTGGCATCAGAAGAGTCCCAGACACGAACAGGGCTCAGTGTAGACATCCACAGGCTGGAAGTGCTTGCCTAGGAGGGAGAGAATTAGTCTTTTAAGAGCAAAGGCTCTGGATCCAGACTTCCTGGGTTCAAATCCTGTCTTCATCCTTTCCCACCACTATGACTTTAGACAAGTCAATGAACTCTCCTGTGCCTCTGTTTTCTTTTCTGAAAAATGGGGATGATAATGCTTTATAGAGCTGTGGTAGGGTTAAAGGTAAGAACGTATACAAAGCACTTAGAACAGTCCCTGGCGTGTGGTTAGTCTTTTCTCAGTGTAAGCTGTTATGATAATCATCCAACTTGACACAGGGTGAACTCCCTGGAACTGGCAGGGGATTCCCACTTCAGGTGTGCACTCCTCCAATAAGAAAATGAAGCAAAACCAGGCAACAAAAAGACTGATGGAGTTAGATCTCCAGCAAAAGACTGGAAAGAAGTTTAAGCAAAGCATAAGACCCTTAATTCCACCCCACTCCACCCCATCCCCCTGACTTTCCTACTGAAAGGGCTTGAAATGATTCCACGGAATGAACAGCAGTGTGGGGGAGTGAGCCAAGCATTTGACTAGGTACTAGGTGAGTTAACTATAAGTTGTGACCTTGAGTAAGACACTTAATTTCTCTGAGCCTAAATTTCCACATCTATAAAATGAGTAGGAGTGGTGTGTGTGTGTGTGTGTGTGTGTGTGTGTGTGTGTGTTGGGGGGGGAGGGTGCGTCTTCCCATCATCTCCCCCTTTCTTCTGGGAACTGTTTCTCTCCCATTCGCCTACTATTGGGACCTCCGTTTTCTTACATGATGCCACCTCCCTGGCCATAATTGACATGTGACCCAAACTGGGCCAATCAGAGTGCTTCCATGAGATTTTTATTTTTGTTGTTGGATCTGGGAAAAGATAGTCAGCAACTCTGAGTAGAATAGGTGGAGTGGGGGCTCAGGACCACTTGGCAGTCCTGTCTCCACCAGGTGAAGTCTAAGAAGATTACATACAGTGAAAAGCAGAGATAAGAGACCAATCATTCTGGTGGCATTTGGATCAGGTGTCTCTGAGACGCATGTGTACCCTGCATTGCCTTCAGTTAAATGAGACACTCAGATTGATTCCAATGATTCTCCTTTTCCCCTAAACTGGTTCAAGTTTGTTTTCTTGGGTCACTTGCAACTGCCAAATCCCTGAGTATACAGATTAGTTTATTTATAAAATTCCCCCCCTTTAACTCTAAAGGACTATGCTTTTATACAAGAAGTAAATGAATGATGTTCAAGTAAGGCTATGTCTCTGAACTTTGGGTTGCTGTGTGGAATAATCAAAGCCTTTTTAAAAAAAAATAAAATAAAAGAGAGAGAGAGAGAGAGAGCCCTCATCTAACTTACTTAAAAGTGCAGAATAGGTTCAAGACTATTTATAGCTTTTTATTATATCTAAATGAAAGAAATAAATAGGTCAAGAGCTGGTGTTTTGGTGAACTGTGAGGAAATCAGCCATTAAATTATAAAGAATTGATTTCAAAACTGTTGACTTGGTGACCTGGTTTTGAAATTGAATCCATTTTTTTCCCGATACCCAGTATAACACAAGAGGGAAATTAGTTAACTTTGGCTTGATGAAGACCAAGAATTTAGAAAGACTTGGTCACAGTGTGGCTATTTTAGCCTAATTTCCTAGTCTGTCTGCACTACCTTGTTAGCATTGAGTGAGTGAAATCTTTTCTTTCTACTCTAACTCATCCATCGGTCTGTGTATTATTAAAAATAACTTACATTTTAACTTTCAACAAATAAATATTTTTTATTTTGGCTTCTTGATCACTAATATTTCAATATATAAAATTTTGTACTTTTGCCCATGGTAAAATAACTCAGGAATGTCTAGTACCGATAAATCTTTCTATTTATAATGACTCTCAATATTAAATTTAAAAAGAATGCCTATGTGTCTATACTTATATCTGTAACTGTGTTTTAGTCTTCTCAGTCTACTGTAGTTAATTCTTGATAATTAATGGTATGAGAGATGGTGCTTTCATAGTGTTAATTGAAATCCATAGAAAATTATAAGATCTCATTTTTTTGCTAATATTGTCATTTTAATCTCCTCCCCGGAAAAAAAAAAAACTTAAACCAGAGCTCATATGTATAGTAATAAAACTATTTTGAGAGACTTTTACAGACTCTCTTAACCCACTTTTATTATTATTATTTTTTAAATTAAATATATTTTTATTGATTTCAGAGAGGGAGAGAGATAGAAACATCAATGATGACAGAGAATCACCGATCTGCTGCCTTCTGCACGCCCCACAATGCGATCGGAGCCTGCAACCCGGGCATGTGCCCTGACCGGGAATTGAATCCTGACCTGCTGGTTCATTGGTTGATGCTCAACCACTGAGCCACACCCGGCTGAGCCCACTTTTATTTTTTAGTTGAAGACCTTCCAAAATGTAAAATCATAGGTAAGTGAGAAGTGAGAAGAGGTAAGGAGGCTGGAGCTTGTACAAACCACTACTGATATTAATACATTTGAGTAACAAAACATTGGTTATAGACCCAGAATATCATGGCACCTAATGACTGGGCCTGACTCCTGAGGTCAACTCCTAGTGAAAGGTCTGAGCCATGTATCTGGAATGATTTTCACTTTATTCCCACTTACTAACCTTTCCTGTTGGGGAACTCTGAACCCACGGCCCACTGAATTGGGCGATGCAGTGTACAGTCTCACCCATACACACTACAACCCTGTCGTCCTCTTCTTTGTCCCTTGCCTTTTCCCACTTTACACTCCTACTCAGGCACCTCCTTGCCCTGCCCACCTGTCCACCTGGTCTTGACTACAAAATATCCTGCCTTAGTTGACTATTTCTGTCCTGATGTCTTGATACCACCTCATTATAATTAGAGGGCTATTGATAGTCGGTTTCCTAGGAGACAGAGGGTGGGTGGAGTCTGTGCAGGGAGTGCTTCTGGACGTGTGGCTGATCTTGGCTTTTAATCTTCTTTCACTCTGATTATTGTGTGAGGCCACTAGTGCCGATCAGTCGTGCCTGCTCTTGGTACAGTTCCTGTTTTGGCAGGGGCCAATTTGGCTAACTCTCAGTTCCCTTTATCCACCTTTCCTCCTCACACAGCTGGAGAGAAATACCCAGCTCTACCTGACAGAAATATACTTATAGAAGACATGAAACCACTGTACACATCTACAGAGTTATACACCTTCACCTTATAGATACATATTTAATAGAGGAATGTGTAGCAATAGTGGCTCTATTGGTTCAAGCCAAGCATCAGAAGGCTAACTAAGCATCAATAAACGAACACAGTGATGTGTAAGCGACGAGCTGCAAACCCTGCACAGGTGGATGAATTCAGAATAGTGTGTAAAATGTATTTTTTGTTACATCCAATCACTACAACCTTAGTCAATGAGTACTGCAACTTGGTATAGACCTCTGGACAACTTGCTGGAAATATGTTAAATACTAAAGAAGTTACATCTAATACTACAATATGGATAGGTGGATAGCCAGGTTAAGTAATCTGATGATACTACCTAGGGAACTGTCTACAATTTTATTGTTACTGGGAGACTTTGCTTTGTAATCACTGTTCATTTCTTTAGTCCTGCTTTGAATCTCTTCAACTGCACAACTAAATTATCAGGAATTTGAAGGTGTAACATGAGCACAAAGGCAGTGAATTATTAGAACAACTGTGATTGATCATGTGGTATGAACTAAGAACATCTAAGGTCAAGAAAAATAGCATTAAGGTTGATGAAGAGAGGCAGGGAAAGCGGAGACTCTGACAGGCCTTAGGTGAACACCACTGTAGATCTAGTCAAAGCAATGAGAATGGACATGCAGATGAAAGTCCCAGACCCAGCAGGGAAGGCTCCCTAACCTATCGTGAGAGTGAGGACTGTATCTGAGAAATTACTCATGCATTCATTTTAAAAATTCAATCAATAAATGTTTACCGGACACCTAGGATATGCCAGGTAATGTGTCCTGGGAGAGAGAGATACAAATACACGGTCCCTGAGTTGTTATTCCCATCAGAAAGAAGGACAAAATAAAATGAATAGAGAAAACAATGACAGGTGCTGACGTGTTATGGATCTGAGATAGAGCCTGGTGTGTTTGGGAGGACTCTCTTTCCAGAGGGACCTGGGAAGGCTGCTCTGAGGACACCAAGACTTTCCAATGTTTATTTCCCTCATCAGCTCTTCGCAGCCAGCAGTACAGCCTCTGAGGTTACAGGGAGACTTCAGGGAGAGAAAGCTGTGCGCTGCTCTGTATGAAGTAAGCTCTTTCTAGTTTTCAAATAAATGAAGAATGGTATGGAATTGCCACTGAGGTATAGAATAACTTAATGAGCGGAGCTCACAGTCTCTCAGAGATGAAAGAAGGAAAGTCTGTTACTGAAGAGAACCCAGAGTGGGCACGTCAAAGAGGAAGAGGAGGGGACTTCAAATATTATCAGAAAGTAGAACACCTTGTAGGGATTACAGGGGAGCAAAATCCAGCAGATAAATTACTGCGCATCTACTATGTGTCAGGCACTGTTGGAGATCAGATACCAATGATGAAGCATGAATTAGCCCCCCGCCTGCTAGCAGGGGTCAGGCCTGAGTGCCATAGAAGGCAGCTGAGCACCAGAAGCCCAGATTGGGCGCCCAGACAGCCCAGTGCAATCAGTGGGAGAGTTGAAGCAATGGGAAGCTGAGAAAAGAAAGAAGTAAGATCACTTTTTCAAAACCGTAGGTTTGACTTGAGGACACCAGCCACCAAGACTGATACCTTCTATCAAGAGTATCCAGGTAATTCCTCTTGTTCGGCCTTCCTGTTTGTGGAATGACCTGCTGGCTTTCATCTGGCTTCCCATGCAGGTCTGCATAAAGGGAGAGACATTCAAGCAGCAAGTGTGAGTCTATGGTAACCTTCTGGGGGATTCAGATTTCTTATTTCAAATTCAAGTTAAACAACAGCAAATGCTGCTGAGGATGTAGAGCAACAGGAACTCTCATTCATTGCTGGTAGGAATGCAAAATGGTACGGCCACTTTGGAAGACAGTTTCTTATCAAATTAAACATCTTCTTACCATGTGATCCAGCAATCTTGCTCCTTGGTATTTACCCAGATGAGTTCAAAACTTATGTCCACACAAAAACTTGCACATGAATGTTTATAGCAGCTTTATTCATACTTGCCCAAACTTGGATGAAACCAAGGTATCCTCCAGTAGGTGAATGGATAAGAAAATTTTGGTACATCAGTGCTAAAAAGAAATGAGCTAACAAGTCATGAGAAGACACAGCAGAAGCTTAATGCACATTACTGATGTCGACAACCTGGAGGGACTACAGACTGCATTCTGTCTTTCCATTAGACTGTAAGCTCCATGAGGGCCGGCATTTCTGTCTGTTTTGTTCACTGTTCTATTTCAGAACCTAAAACTGGTCTTATCCAGCACATAGTGGAACAAATGCTCAATAAATAGTGGTTGATCAACTAACCGTTTTTATGACACATCTCCTGAGCAGGCCATAAGCTCCTTAAACATAATTAAGGGCCCCCTAATGTCCCATGCAGCACCTGGCAGCACATGTGGCAGATGACCAAGTGGACCCTGGGGAGTGGCTGTCTTTCTAGTATCCTGACCCCGACACCCTTTGACACCACCCCCACCACACAGGGCTCCTTTTATCTCTTATTTGCCCACAACTTGCGGACCTGCTTACACCCTAACGGCAATGCAGTCTGGATGGATGACAAGCTGGTGTCCTGTAAAGAAGGAGCATCTAAAACTCAGTTCAGTAAGGATACCACTCCCAGGTAGCTATGTAGGCAGGCCTGAAAAATAAAGTCACTTATGGGGCCAGGATCATGCTAGATTTCTCCCTTTGTAAAACAAAGCAGATGGTGTCTGCCTTGCAAAGTTATTGTAAGAATCGGGCACGCTGAATGTGACCCATTTGTGGTGATGCCTGTGCATAGTATGTGCCCAATAAGTGAGGGTTTTTAGATGATGAAGTAGGGTCAGTACTGCCTCCCACCCCATCCAGTGCAGCAGCAATGTCAATGGTAATGATATGTGATTCATTTTAAAGCCCAAGGTCACGTGGCCACCTTACCTGCCGCCAGTTCTAAGGACACAGTTATTTCTGAGGATGGCAAGACCTTGCCAAGACCCACTCAGGCATTTCATGTAGCTCATTTCCTTCCTCATCCAGCAGCGTCAATGACTTTAGACATTAAACATTAGAAGAATGTGTCTGTGTCATACTTTAAAACTGATTAGGAACGGGGCCAAAAATAACGTCAAAAGAATTCCCCAGTTTCCAGATACTAGCCGGTGCTGTGAGCTGTTCTAATACCGCAGTTTACTGGTAAAACAGGAGGTGCTGCCATCTTTCCTGGAGGAGTGAACTCTCCTCTTTACACGTGGAGAGAAGGTGTTGTCTCTACCACTGGTGAACCAAGTCACTGACCACCCCGTGGAAGCCCACATTCTGACACCACCTGACTTCTCCTCTGAGAGTTTTATGTTTCCTTCCCTCCCTTTTGCATTTCCAAATTTCCCCTCCAATGATGACTTCTGTTTGGCTCCTCTCTATTATTTCACCTTCCTGTTTGCCTACCTTTTCCTTTTGTTATTTTATTTTTTCCCATCACCTTTTATCCTCACTATACCCTGCTCCACTTCCACCCACCCCCCAATCACCACACTGTTGTCTGTGTCCATGAGTTCTTGCTCTTTTTTTTCTTTTCAATCTCTCCATCCCTCAGCTTGCTTCCTGCGCGCCCCCCCCCCACCCCCGCAGCTGTCAGCCTGCTCTCTATCTATGAGTCTGTCTCTATTTTGCTTGTTAGTTCAGTTTGTTCATTAGATTCCACATATGAGTGAAATCATATGGTACTTGTATTTCTCTGACTGGCTTATTCTTTTCTTTTTTCTCTTATTACCTCCCTCCCGCCCCC